ATCACTTTTTTGAATAAACTTTAAAATAATACAAGCAATGAAATTTTACCATTACCGATTTTCAGCTTTTAAGTGAGCGAAACTCACGATATCTTTTGGGACAAAGTATGACGGAATATGATTGCGAACTGATGCCGCGTCTTCATCATATTCGAATCGTTGGACAGCGCTTGCTCGGCTTTGATATTCCACTGAATCTAACCTATCTTTGGAACTATGTGTTGAATGCATATCGTACTGCTGCTTTTATCGAAAGTTGTCCAGCAGACCAAGATATTCTTCATCACTATAAGGTCTGATATGCATTATCTTGGTGGCGAATTTTTTCTTATGCAGTTAAAAATTTAATATTTTATTTATTGGCTGAATCGGAAACAAGTAGATAAGACTGACAAGACAAAAGTGATCTTTAAACGATTCGTTTAGATCTCAGAATTGTGTCATCATTTCATATAGAATTGACAGTAATGTTTTGCATTTTGAAACAAAACATCATTTGGCGATAATTTTTTTAGAATCATCTTTTTCAGGAACAGCTTAGTTTGGTAACAAATCAGCGCGAATCATTACAAGTTCCAACCAAGACTCACACAATTCCTGAAAGTGTCTTGGAAGATATTCGTCGACTCAAGTTGGATGAAAACTGAGAACAACCATAATCATTATTATTATTTATCAGATGCTTTTTTAAGATTTATCTACTGTAATTTATGTTGTTATTATTTTTCTTAAATTCTGGTTTAATTATTAAGTGGCTTCATCTGAAATTCAAAGAAATTTTAAAAAAGTCTCCTTTAATCTGTTTTTACTTCAGAAATCGATTATTGATACTGGCATTTCTTGGATTCTTTTCCGATTATTTTTCTTTTTCGAAATGAGTTTGTGTCAAAAAAAAATCTTTTTTGTTTACTGATGAAGTCGTACTGTATGTACTTATTTGTTCCATAAAACATATCTGTCTTTTCCAAAAATATCCATTTGCCTAATGCACACTCGCATTCCATTGTTTTTCAACTTTCTTCTTACAGCAGAATATTTCAGTTGTGTTTTTGTTGAGTTTAAAGATAGCATATCATTATTAAATAACTCCTTTCAAACAATTCATTTTAAATTGAAGAAATCATTTCTTCATTTTCCAACTTCACTTTATTACAGCGAATCGAATGCATTAATTGTCTGCTTTTTGGGCTTTATCCTGGTTTACTTTTATTATGCCGAATAAAGAAAGTATTGGATTTCTTATTTTCAAGAGCTCAAATAATCGAGGATATCAAAATACATGGAATCTCTCAAGAATTATTCAGACGGGAAGGTGTCCATCGATTGAATTTGGAGGACATATTTCTATGTGGTTAATATTAAGCTTAATATAGTGCCATATGTGTTACGTTCATTCAAATTCAACTGATCTCCATCTCAGTTGTTGGCAAATGTATACTGTCAGAGATCTTATGCAATAACACTATCAATATAGCAATTTGATATCGATTTGGAGTAGGATAATAGAATGTTCGCCTGATATATGATAAGCTGTTAGAGTATCAAAGTAATGCTTAAGTTAATTATTGGCCAATTCTTTAAAATGTTCCAGGTAGTTTCTGCTTATAAGTTTATGGTTTTATTCTGATTGCGAAATTATTATATTAAATTGGTATTAAAACTAAATTCTTTTTAATGAAATCCATGTCTTTTCATTTTTAGTAACTAATAGTCAACGATATAATTTATATTTCATGAGGGAGTAATATTATTTTTTTGATATTTACAAAAAGCGATTTTGTAAAAACGCATTGCAGAATTTTTTTTCAATCTTTGTTTTATAGCAGTGGCATTAGTAAGTCGGTTATCAATCTTTTTACTTATTTAATTAATAAAAAACAAATACGAATATTTGCATTTGTACTGGTTGTAATATTTCTAGAATTCTTTCGAATCCACAATTTTTCGCGAAAATATTTCTTGAAACCATCAAAAATGCTATTGAAAAATGTGATAGCACGATGATACGAAATTGAATAAAATAAATGTGACATCTATTTGTAAGGAAAATCAGAATACTAATGATTTAGTACAAAAAGCAAAATGCATATTTCATTTGAAATAAGATCCAAAACCTTATTTTCATAACTTTATTCTGAATATTTCATTACAGATGAAGAATCGGTCAGTGGATGAGCTGCTTTGTTCATCATATCAGGAATTGAAGCGATACATGAAATGTCGCAAACATAAAAGGATTACATTGTTTTTCTAATTACAACTTTATTTAATGATAAAAAAAGTATCTTAAAGGGCGTGTGATACCTTCTTTCTAACTAAAATGATAAGAAAATGATCGTCCCATTGAGAAGACTATTATTATTCGTATTGATATTAACTTGATATTAATTTAGATATTGATTAACTTCAGAAGCATATTGCATGAAATTATTATTTAATATTTTAGTTCCAAACAATGATTTTTGTTGAATCACAATTCGAAATCATTTTGTAGAGATTAGTATGATTATGTTATTACTTTTAGGATATATATGTACAACGGAAATCGTGAGATAAGTTGACTTGAACGCATAAATCTTGTTGTTATAGCAATACAATAAACATATCTTGATAAGTATATAATTGAATAAATCTAAAAAATTTGTATAATCTTTACTGTTATAGAAGATTTACAGGTAAAATATAAGCAACTTTAAGCGCATCTCGTATTTGCAAGGTCACGTGGGAGTACGTAATGGTATTTCCTGCCCTGACTTCTGTTTTTTGTTCTATTGAGTTATCATTCTCAAAAAATTACAGTGATCACATAAGCTGGATCAGATGAAAAAGTCAAGGAATATTATCTTTTAATTCACTTTGAATATTTCACTTCTTATTTTCAAGCCATAATTTGCTGTTACTTTAGTATTATTAATTATATAATTATTACAATAGTGGAACATATTTGAAAAAATTTCGCTTCTACTGTAAAAGATAGGCGATGAAAAATGGCCAGACAATTGATCCTTTCTTTTTTTCATTCTTTTATCATTTTTTTTTGAGATGATTGATTTTAGTGAGTTTGTCGAGGAAAGTGTTCTCTAAAGATAAAAATTTTAATGTTGCTAAAAATCAATCAAAAAATTTATTACATGGACGGAATTGCAGGTTGTACTGCAATTTATGCTCAATTCAAAGATAAGAAACTTTCTTAGTTATTGGTCTGTGATCAGATGCCGCAGCGTTTAGCTATCACTCAACTGAACGGTAATAATAATGTGTGTGTAAACATTTCCTGATAAGAAAATGATAATAATTTAAGGGAAAATTTAAGGGAAATTAAAAGAACTTCTTGGAAAATATTCCAATAAAACGACGTCTAACATATTGGCATTCTCTTGAAGGTGGGAGACCCTTCGAGAGATGAAAAACAAAATTTTTTAAACCTTTCATTTCCTTTGAATTCTTCACAGTGCTATGAATTGTTTGGAATATTTAACTTATCGGTCTCATATCCCAAAGAATGCTTTTTATTTTCCGAAAAGAAGCATTCCTTTCCCAGTATATATTAAAAATTCGATATAAAATAGAATTTAGTTGGAAAAATCTGACCACATCAGCATGCCACTCATTGTGATGGCCACTGGATTATATATATATAATCTCTATCTTTGGCAAATGACACTCTACTCCCGCAAAAAATTTCGTATCTTCTGCTTCCAGTAGTATTTTTGATTTCACTTAAAGGATATTCTCGTCAAAAATGAAATGGAAAAACAAGCAATGCAATATTGCATGAAATGTTTAACTGAAATACAGATATCTTCACTTCCTTGCGCTGATAATAGTAGTTTTTCCAATATTAGGAATTAATGGAAAATTTTCCAGCACTGCCACTTTTTCTGCTCAGAATCTGCGCATTCAAAATCTTTTATGTACATTTCATTTAATGTTTAAAGTCATTTGCAGATATATTTTTTAAATAATCAAGTTCCCATCAATGCAACTTCATAGTGTTCAAGAAATCGTAAACTCTTCGAATTTATCTAATGAATTTTAAGCCCGAGAAGCTGATCGCAGTGTGGTAGAACTGTGACCTCAATATATTATTTTTAATATTTAGAAAAAAGCAACACAAAATACACTAAAGAACCAGCTATGACTAAAGAAACCGACAAAACACATCACAGATAAATGAGAAAGAAGCGAATGCATGTATGAAAAATAATAAAAACATTTACAACTTTTTTTTTCAACCCAGCGAAAACAAAATTCTCATGAAAAACGACGCCATGAACCTTACAGTATTTCCTATGTAAAAAAAATTTTAAGGATCTTAGAAAAAAATAATATAAGGAATAGGAAGATATCAGAATTAAAAATGGAATACAATGCGTACAAGAAAAAATAAGCCAGAAAAAGAGTCACAACATATAAGCTAGAAACATTTTATACAATTGAAGTAATAAATCATACGGGTTGTTTATCCCGTTCGAGTCCTATCTTTCAGCTCCTGCTTAATTTGATACTGCACGGAAACATTGCGTGAATCCAATTTAGAAAACTCATAGTAAAAATATAAATAGAGACACTCAAAAATAAATTTTTTTTTCAATTTCAAAAAGTATTAAACTAATCTCTAAAAAGAGAATAAATAGTGGTAGTCATACAGATGCGGACGGTTGCAAAATTCTTCCACAATATTTTTTTCAGGAAAGATCTCAAAAAATATAGATCCAAAATAGTTAAAAACCAAATCTAATTCAGACTCATGTTCCTATAACCTCAAAAATAAGTTATATCACATTTCCTCATCTTCCTAATATTATTAATGTTCACAATTGCTTAAAAAACTTGCTTCCTAAAATAAAGTAGTTGAAAGTGAATGAATAAGTAAATTGATTTTTAAAGCTTTTAATATTTTTATAAAAGGAAAGAAAGCAATGACTACTATTAACGTAATGTTTTGCTCCCTTTGAAGTTCTTAGTAATCAGTTTTCAAATTACTCTCAAAAATCAATTCATTGATTCAACAGTTCCCACGCATCATCATCCCAATCTTTGTTGGATGTTGATTTCTTGTTATTTATAGTAGTTTTAGTTATCATAGTTTCTTCTACGCAAGCTATTTTACTGTCGTCCAAAGAAAAATCGATCAATGGAGGTGTCTGCTAAAATGAAAGTCATTACAAAAAATTAACTAAAATAATAATAAACTTCTATAATAATAAAAACACAGACCTCTCTCTTTGCTTTTGCTAATGTCTCGTTGCTAAACTGCTTTGGATTTGCTGCCGAATTCAGTTGAATCGAACTGCCTATAGATGTGCTCATTAAATCTCTAAACGTAAGCAATTTATGAAAAAAGATAATTTCTAAGAGTCTAAATATTAGCTTCGTGCTTCATTTACAAAGTGAAGATCAAACTGTATTGCTTTGTGTACTTTTCATTTCATTCCGAGTTATTTTTAGGTTCTGAAAGTTTAAAAAGTTCGTATATGTAATATGACACTGACAATGACTTGACAAGACAATGTTTTTCATAAGGAAAAAAAAGTCAACTAACCGCAATTGAAATCAGATATGACTGAAGGTTTTGGAGGAATACATTCAACTGAATTATTTCTAAAATGCTTCAGATATGCTCTGATTATTATGAAATGCACACATGAATAAAATGCCATCATATCCGGGAACTTTGTTACAAAATAAAAAATACCTACCTGCATATCTGATAATTGCTCACTTGTTGCTCAAATAATCTATTGTCTTGGTCGTCCGGTGTAGCTAAGTCTTCATAATCACTAAAGGGAAAATGATATTTAGTGCTTTGAATTATATCGTAAAAAGACAAGCCTACCTGTTATTTAATAATTATAAAAAAATCGTACAAAATTTCATTGACAGTAAAAGTTTTTTAGAAGCAAAAACTTTCATAAAGAAGTTTTCGGAATAAAATAAACCAAACAATAAGAATTAATAACCTTTTTCCCGGCGCAATAAAACCTTGTAGAGACGGACTTTTTATAAAATTTGATATTCCTGTCCATGATTTGGACCCTATTTCGGTAGCTTTCTGCGCTAAACTTCCCAAAGTTGGTTTATTCAACAATGTCCCTTCTCGGATCTAAATTTCGAAATTTTAAGTAGGATAACTTCCGGTCAGACTTAAACTACACCAGTAATTCGTTGTGTGCATTCATTACGGTTTTCCAAAAATCATAAATTTAATAAGATTAACTGCATTAGATTCTGCACAAATTTTAATACAAAAATAAAGATATAGATTATATCTTTTCGCTAACGCTTTCACTGAGTTCCGTAGCTTTTGATGTTGCTTGTGAGCTGATATCCTTGGCATATAACGCAGCAGTTGTTGCCCCTTTACTTAGTATATTCCAACCCTAAAAAATCAAGACTAGAAAAATTATATATGTACAACAATCAATAACATTTAATTCAAAATAAACCCCACAAAATCTTTTGGAAATTGTGCAGTGATAAAATTTACCACAGAAAGAGATGATAAAGCACCAGACAGCAATTCACTGGATGGATCACCATTGTTTACTTGAACATTGCCGAAACCCTGATAACGACTGCCACTAAAATTTTAATAAAATTTTTTTGGAAAATTTTTATTGAAAAATCATGTAAAATATAAATAGAACACGACTGCTTTTCAGACCCATTAGATGGTTCAACCATTGAAAAAAATACATCTTAAACTGCAATGAGGTAGATCCACAACAAAAGTTATTCAGAAGAAAAGCTATAATAAAGAGTAGTAAAGTTTTACAGGTGTAAATCAGTAAAAGCTGTTTAAAATAAAAGATATTACGAGTTATCATAATCAGAATGGTATGAATCGCTTCCAATCTGAGTAGTGTTGCCTCCATAATAAGCAGATACACTATTCGAATTGCTGTTTCCACCAATTTGTGAATGTAATGATGAATTTAATGACGTGTTTGGCGTATAATTTCTTGCTGGCGATGTTTCGGCTGACCATTCACGGTGTTCGGATTCTGTTAACACCTGGAAATAAAAGGATTAAAAATATCTCCTGAGTATTCTCAAACGTTTATTTCGTTAGTATGATAATTTCGCTAAAAATCGCACCTTATCTTTTAGAAGAGCAGCAGCTCTCGAATTATATCTTTCTTGAAGGGACCAGTTTGATCGGTAATCTGACTGACTTTTTAAAAATTCTATTGCTTTTGCGTTGCCTCCAACTTTCATTTTACTGAGCTCACTATCCTTCCACTTATCCATTGTCGTAGATCGTACAAAACTATAAAAATATTTTCGTTTGTTATAAGCAAAAAAATTACTTTATATTTTGAACCATAATTTTTTGCTGTCCAATAAAAAAATTCTTGCAGATATTTATATACAAAACTTGGGCACGCATAAATATCACAATGAAAATAAGAGCAAACCTAACGTGTACACCCAAACCACGATGTAAACCAGAACAATCCAGACAAAGCCAAATTCCATAAGTCACACTCGCCCACTGAGGATTACTAGCGCCACATTCAAAGCAGACCTAATATGTTAATTACAGAAAAAATTGATTCAAAACTGAATAAAAAAAATTCACTTTTTACACCTGAAAATTTTAAAAAATCTAACATTATTTCCAGGAACAGCTCGAATGTCTCGAATGATACGTCGCGTTCGTGGACTGGCCATAGTAGTTGACTGATTATTAGTATCAGAATATACTTAAGTACAAAGAATGTTGACCAAATTCTCCGCTCTTATTGAGTGGACTTCTTTAGATGATCGTTCAATACTCGCTGCTTACTAAAATATAACAGAATAGATACACAGTACCTGCACTGATAGATCTAGTCAATCCATTAAACTTTATTAGCTTTCAAGAGAAATGCCTATTTCAAATTCTGTCCAACCATGTCATAACTTTTTGACATACCAATGCAGCATATCTGCAAGTGAGGATAAGACTGCACAATAACATTGAAAGATCTAGTGAAATAAGTTCAGATACAGCAAAAAACCAGCTCTAATCGAGATCTCTATCGATTCATGTAATTAATTATTAAAAGAAGTAATGCTTCTTTTGAGAAACCAAAAATAACGATAGAATCGCTCAATGTTTTTTAGAATGAACTACTAAGCACTGAATCATAGCATTTAGAGGCAACAAAGTGACTCTTAAAGATGAGAAAAAAATATCTTTTTTTGGTAATGTTTGAAAAACATACTAAAAAGAAAGACGCTGAAATTGATGGGTAACTGGTGAGACGAACTAATGACGCAGGCAGCGAGTCAGAACACGTCCCTTCTTTCTCACTTCACGTATGTACGTGTCTCGGGATCGTAATGAACTCGCGCCTACGTCCAAATACTAAAGCTAGCAAATATCTGAAATCAAACTAATTAGTGTAACCAAAAACACATCATTTACCAGCTTTCCTCCTCTAAAGCACCCAAACCAAACCACAAACACTCTTCTCCGACCCTAAATTAGTATGATTTCGCAAGTTGAGTACAAACCTAAACGTACGTGAGGGACTCCGATCATCGCTGACGTTTTTCTCATTCTGAAGTTTAATCTTTTGGTCTCAAAGCGCAAAATCCTTTATGCAAAAGAAGCTGAATTAATTATCGATTTGAGTTGACCTCAGTTTTCATCGAGAATACTGTTGGTAGGAAATAAAGAATTAAAATTATCATAGCAATATTATGCATTACTAAGTATAATCTTTTATAATCCATCAGTACTTCATTCTATTTTTTAAGAATCACTAATAATTTTGAAAACATTCATGGAGGATTCTTGTTGATAAATTGTGATACTTATTCCTCTGTATGAAGAAATAAACACATGTATGAAAGCCGACCAAATAAAATACAAACAGTGAATATTTAAATTTTTGATAAATATGTATAAATTTTATTCCTTTATAAAAGTGGAGTTACAGAATGATGATTGGTATTTTGTTAACTTGCTTACTTTGCGCTCGGTAACACCATAGGAATTGAAGAAATTTGGCATGTCTTATGGTGCGGCCGTCGGTTTCGTCACAATTCTCCTTCTCTTCTCTTCTTTATCATTGTCAAACAGTATGTCTGTGAAAGCGGTAAAGGGTTTCGATCGACGGGCGAAAGAAGAACAGTGGTTAGCAGATAGGAATCTGTTTTTGGATATTGACAATGCCCGCTCGGACACTATCGACAATATCACCGATGCCTTCCTTAGCATCACAAAGAGGTTGGTGAAGACTGGTCATTTGATGATTGAAACTAAACGTCGTTTGATGGTGTTTACCAATGAAGTTGGCGATATGAGTTATGATTCGAAGTGGGCCATGTTGGGTTGGCTTGCTGCTATGTTTCTCTTTCCCATCATTACAGCAGCAGTCGTAGCTGTAATTATCGCTTTGTTCTTCCAAAATGAACTTACCAACTTGCAAATTTTTTTGCATACTCGTTGGGATGTGGACGATAAGCCTGATATCATCACCGAGTGCAAGGCAAAGCAACGTTTGGGTAATTTAGCCATGCAACGTTTGTATCTTAAAATGAGTCGACATCCAGAGAGATTCCTCCCAAAACAGGCAAAACGTGATCCAGAAGCATTGATACGTGAAAAGACCGAACTAACACAATTAAATGAAGCGAGTCACGCGGAAGCACATGTTCCAGGTCCCGTAGGCACTTTATTACCAGCATAAATTAAGAATTTTGAGCATGAAGAAGAAATATCTATGAGGGTTTCGAAGTGCTTAGTGGATTATTGTAATAAGGCAAATATACATAGTGAAGGAGTGCGAAAATATAAAACTGTTCCTGTCTATCTGAAACAATAACAAAGGGTCTTAAGGCAAAAGCTCGTCGCATACCTTGGTCAAAATGTTGTGTTTAGCAATACCTGATATGCTCTATTTTCACCAGCAAACTTAGTGGCTTCTGAAGTTGATATTTTATTCAGTTGTACAATTTTTTCAAAACAGGCACTAGTGCGAAGTAATTACATGGCAATGATTGCATCGGCTTACTAAGTGATAATTGGATAAGAAACATTAATCCCACGCAACAAATTATCACAAATTTCTGAAAGAGGAAATAAGTAGAATTCGAATGCTTGAAAAAAAAAGATTTCCAGTTTGTAATTTTTATGCTGATTTAGATCCCTTTTCCAAGTAAGAGCAAATTTTGCAAAATAAAGCGGGCACGTTCTGGAGTAAAAAGTTCTGATCACTTCCTACAAACTCCTTTACGAATTAACATAACTGAGAAAATGCACAATGATGGCATCAGAAAAGGCACAGTACAGATTTTAAATACCATCTGCACCACATATTACTACAAACTTACTTCCTTTTCTTTATCCATGAAAATAAATAGAAAAACCTTATCCTCTAAATTGTACTCCAAATTTTAATTAGAGCATTTAAAGACTCATGTCCTGAAAGAAATGTGAAAAGAACAAAAATTAGCAATGTCGAATTACGAAAAAACAAAAAAATTTGAAATCTAAAATTAAAATCAAACAGCTTTTCTTCTAATTTGCCTCGTACAGCAATGTACAAAACACCAGGAAGATTAAGAAACTTTCTCAAAAACATATTTTCTATTCTCATGAAATAATCCCACAATTTTCATCACTGCAATCCTCCTTTTTTTTGTTTCCAGTCGTCTATTGTCAATAAAGCTAAAAACTGAAGGAAAGACATGAAATATTCGGTTCTAAAGATATAAAAGATTCTCATAACTGTCATAAACTTTAATATAGACTGCATAAATTAAGTAAACAGACAAAGGATATGGACTTCACAAAGAACTACCACCGCCTTGAGTTGGTTGATAGTGATCTGGCTGTTCAGAAGATATCATAGGCAAGCTCGGCGTGAATAAATTTATTTGCACAGGGAAAAATTTGATCGCTATATCTAGCTGATATTTTTGATGTATTCAATAGTCAGCTTTTGTTAATCGATATAGCTAATACATACCTTACAAAAGACGATTTTACAACTTCACAAATTAAATTTGAACAAATAAAGAATAAGGATGTCCTTCAAATAATCTTTAAAAAAATGATTGTAGGCGAATGAATAATTAATTATCGTACCGAAGATTATCTGACAATTAAGAGTATATCCATAACTAGCTGAGTCGTACGTCCGACTGGTTCGCCATATCTGTAAATTAAATCACCACCTTGTGGCCATGGGTCATGGTCTAAATCATAATTATCCACGAATAGCTGAACAAATCGCTTGTGAATGCCATTTAATTTTTGCCCTAATAATGCATCTTTCCCAATAAAATCTTTCTGAAATAGAAATTTTTTTTAAAAAACAGCTTTGGACTAAGAAAATTTTCAAGAAAAATTTAAGGATTGTAAAACATTCAACATATGCAAGATTATAGATTAAACATACATTAAAATCAACACGATATGTACGTCCACACTCGAGTAATGTTACATTCGTAGAAATATCTTGACCCCAACAAACAAAGAATTTTTCAATCGCAACTGTTTCAAAGCATAATACTTTAATACGACTATTAAAGAACAATAAGTTGCAAATAGCTGCTAAATAAAAACAGAGAAAGATTAAAAGTTTTTCTACGACAGACTCTGCATGCGTAACACCGTATTCCTTCCCACGTTCCATCAAATGCATATAAACATTTTGCGCTACCTGAAAAATACTTATTTTATATTTAAAATAGTTGAGAAATATTTAAAAAATGCCTTCATAACTCCGATGATATAGCTGTAAATAGAAGCTTCTTTAACTGAAATCGTCTTAATAAATTTCATTCAATGACATGAATTCGAATTCAAGTTAATTGTAACATATTCTAATTTTGCAGATCATTATTTTCTTTTCCAATGATATAAGAATTGCTTCTTAAATTACGAAACGGAAATAAAAAATAAAAAACCAGAAGTAGGAAGTCTTAGAAATAACGTTTTTCTTCACTCAACCGTCAAATAAGCTGTTATCAGGATTCAGAAAACAACAGTCATTCCTCAACACTGCACGATTTAAAAAAGTGAGAAAAAGTATGTAATTCACCTCAGTCGGTATGCAAATTTCCCACTCAAGTTCACTGTCGTGAAATTCGTTGATTTGTTGGAGGTGATGTCTATGAGTTCCAAATACCACCAGTATTTCGACCAAGGTTGATTTACCTTTCGCGTTGTTTGCGGGGAGTCGATTGAGGTGTGTTGAGTTGGACAAGGTTATGTTGGATTTGAGTAACAGTTGAGTTAAAAGGAGAACCGATAGCGATTGATTAAGTTGAACCGAATCGCGGTTGATTTGATTTGAACTGACTACCAAGGGGCAATTAATGTGCGTTGTTGTCTTGTGTGGACGAACAAGTTATCCTCACTTTATTGGGTTAAGAAAAAGAATGACCTCTTCTTCAATAAATGAAGCTTATAAAACATTAGGAAGTGGGAGTGGCTTTCATCAAACA